GCCCTTGCCGTCTGTTTTCATGGACTGAAACTTTGGCCGGGGTAAGGGCTGCCCTTGCAGTGCAGAACAGGCAGAGGCAACCTGAGCCACCGCTGCTCCAGGGTGAGACCGGGGCTGGAACTCAGTGTCCCACGTGGCATGCAGCGGACCTGAATACCTTGAGTGACTCACTTTTCTTAGCCTCTTTTAGCTGGTCTAAGGCCAGATCCTGAAAAATCTGTAGGCAGCTATCTCCATTGTAAAGAATTTGGGTTAGCGTCTTAAGTACTCTTGAAGAACTGGGCCTTATCCCAAAACTCAGTTTCCCAAACTCTTCTGCAGGCCGTGCAGAGCGGCAAGCTTCCTTCGGTGCAGTTTTGTAAATTCTTCAGTGTCAAATAATTCCTGGCTTGCCCAGGACCTTGGTGCTGGGACCAGGTGACAGGCTGGTCTGATGACCCAGGGTGCCAGAAATCCCATGCACTTCTGCTTCCCTGGCAAGGCGGGTGTTCTCATGGCATCTCTGGAGAAGGAGCCCTCAAGGCTGCCTGCTCACTGGTGATTAAATGCTGCCTTATGCCAGCAGGCTGTGGGCTCAATTCCCTTTTCTTCACAAAAAGGTGTGGGTTCATAGTTCCCTTCTCTGAGAATGCTTTAGTTCTCTAACATCTTTTCCACAGTGCATGTGGGCCTGTTAGTCCCTTTGGCTGACTCTGTTCTTTCTGCTTTAAAAGGTGTAATTAACTGCACCAGGAGAGACTGTGACTCGAGTAGAATCATAGAATTGTTTGAATTGGAAAGGACCTTTTAAGTTCATCTAGTCCAACCCTCCCTGCAATGAGCAGGGACATCTTCAACTAGATCAGGTTGCTCAGAGCCTCATCCAACCTGACCTTCAATGTTTCCAGGGATGGGGCATCTATCGCCTCTCCGGGCAACCTGTTGCCATGGTTTCACCACACTCACTGTGAAAAAATTCTTCCTTAGATCTAGTCTAAATCTACCTTCTTTTAGTTTAAAACCATTACCCCTTGTCCTATCACCCTGCTAAAAAGTCTGTCCCCATCTTTCCTGTAGGCCCCCTTTAAGTACTGGAAGGCTGCAAGAAGGTCTCCCCGGAGCCTTCTCTTCTCCAGGATGAATAACCACACCTCACCCTGTCCTCACAGGAGAGGTGTTGCATCCCTCCAGTCATTTTGGTGGCCTCCTCTGGACCCTCTCAAACAGGTCCATGTCTTTCCTGTGCCGAGGGCTCCAGAGCTGGATGCAGGA